AATAAAAGATTATAATCATATTGATAATTATCAAATTTTGTATGTAACTTGACGTTTATAACCGGGTTTCAGATTTTTTTCCTTTTGAAAATTTTGTGGAATAAGCAGTTTTATTTACATTTAAAACTGAGACCTTGTTTTAGTACTAACAAAGGAAGGGTGTACGAAAAGTTGTTGGGAAAAGACACAATAAAACAGTTGGGTATCTTTTTGTGAAACGTTTCCCCTACACAGTAGGCTTTTCAGTCAAGTCAGAAAGTTGATAGAAGCAGAAGAACTTGAAGACGTGTAATCAGTCCATCCCCCTTTAAAGTTTTGAGGTGGTCGTCCCCATTTGGAGAAGAGATTTTTCCATAGTATGAAAAAATTTTAAAATCCTGCGGTTTTTTATACCATTTTACGTTAAAGTTTATTTCCTTAAAACCAAAAGAGATTCTTTTTTGAAGCTCGTAACAATAGTAAGAATTTTGGATTTTAAAGAATTTTGGCCTTAAATCTAAATCAAATTTTTTCCCCAGACTGTAATAATATGGAAGTTCTCAATTAAGGGACTTGTTCATTAATATTCACCCGGGTGTTTCTCCCAGCAGGGGCTTCTCCAAGTGATGCCCTTTTTTTTAAGGAACGTGTTTTTGTTTCTGTTTGTTGTTGGACATGAATTTTGTCCATTAAAATTTAAATTTTATTAAATTGAGGCTTGCCGGTTTGTTACTGCTTTTTTATTAGGTATTTTACAAGGACACTTATTTTTTTTTTTTTTTTTATTTCCATGGCCGTTTTCCCCCCAAGGGGGGTGGCCCAAAAAAAAAAAAACTTTCACCATCATTATCCTCACTGTCTTGCCCGAAGGGTGCTTTACCCTACAGTTTTTAAACTGCAACATTAACACCCCTCCTTCAGAGTGCAGGGACTGTACTTCCCATCTCCAGGACTCAAGTCCGGCCTGGCGGTTTCCCTGAATCCCTTCATAAATGTTACTTTGCTCACACTCCAACAGCACGTCAAGTATTAAAAACCATTTGTCTCCATTCACTCCTATCAAACACGCTCACACATGCCTGCTGGAAGTCCAAGCCCTTCACACACAAAACCTCCTTTACCCCCTCCCTCCAACCTTTCCTAGGCCGACTCCTACCCCGCCTTCCTTCCACTACAGACTGATACACTCTTGAAGTCACTCTGTTTCGCTCCATTCTCTCTACATGTCCGAACCACCTCAACAACCCTTCCTCAGCCCTCTGGACAACAGTTTTGGTAATCCCGCACCTCCTCCTAACTTCCAAACTACGAATTCTCTGCATTATATTCACACCACACATTGCCCTCAGACATGACATCTCCACTTCCTCCAGCCTTCTCCTCGCTGCAACATTCATCACCCATGCTTCACACCCATATAAGAGCGTTGGTAAAACTATACTCTCATACATTCCCCTCTTTGCCTCCAAGGACAAAGTTCTTTGTCTCCACAGACTCCTAAGTGCACCACTCACCCTTTTCCCCTCATCAATTCTATGATTCACCTCATCTTTCATAGACACATCCGCTGACACGTCCACTCCCAAATATCTGAATACATTCACCTCCTCCATACTCTCTCCCTCCAGTCTGATATCCAATCTTTCATCACCTAATCTTTTTGTTATCCTCATAACCTTACTCTTTCCTGTATTCACTTTTAATTTTCTTCTTTTGCACACCCTACCAAATTCATCCACCAATCTCTGCAACTTCTCTTCAGAATCTCCCAAGAGCACAGTGTCATCAGCAAAGAGCAACTGTGACAACTCCCACTTTGTGTGATTCTTTATCTTTTAACTCCATGCGTCTTGCCAAGACCCTCGCATTTACTTCTCTTACAACCCCATCTATAAATATATTAAACAACCACGGTGACATCACACATCCTTGTCTAAGGCCTACTTTTACTGGGAAAAAATCCCTCTTTTCTACATACTCTAACTTGAGCCTCACTATCCTCGTAAAAACTCTTCACTGCTTTCAGTAACCTACCTCCTACACCATACACCTGCAACATCTGCCACATTGCCTCCCTATCCACCCTGTCATACGCCTTTTCCAAATCCATAAATGCCACAAAGACCTCTTTAGCCTTATCTAAATACTGTTCACTTATATGTTTCACTGTAAACACCTGGTCCACACACCCCCTACCTTTCCTAAAGCCTCCTTGTTCATCTGCTATCCTATTCTCCGTCTTACTCTTAATTCTTTCAATAATAACTCTACCATACACTTTACCAGGTATACTCAACAGACTTATCCTCCTATAATTTTTGCACTCTCTTTTGTCCCCTTTGCCTTTATACAAAGGAACTATGCATGCTCTCTGCCAATCCCTAGGTACCTTACCTCTTCCATACATTTATTAAATAATTGCACCAACCACTCCAAAACTATATCCCCACCTGCTTTTAACATTTCTATCTTTATCCCATCAATCCCGGCTGCCTTACCCCCTTTCATTTTACCTACTGCCTCACGAACTTTCCCCACACTCACAACTGGCTCTTCCTCACTCCTACAAGATGTTATTCCTCCTTGCCCTATACACGAAATCACAGCTTCCCTATCTTCATCAACATTTAACAATTCCTCAAAATATTCCCCCCATCTTCCCACTACCTCTAACTCGCCATTTAGTAACTCTCCTCTCCTATTTTTAACTGACAAATCCATTTGTTCTCTAGGCTTCCTTAACTTGTTAATCTCACTCCAAAACTTTTTCTTATTTTCAACAAAATTTGTTGATAACATCTCACCCACTCTTTCATTTGCTCTCTTTTTACATTGCTTCACCTCTCTCTTTTTCTCCATATACTCTTCCCTCCTTGCATCACTTCTGATTGGAAAAACTTCTCATATGCTAACTTTTTCTCCCTTACTACTCTCTTTACATCATCATTCCACCAGTCGCTCCTCTTCCCTCCCGCACCCACTTTCCTGTAACCACAAACTTCTGCTGAACACACTAACACTACATTTTTAAACCTACCTCATACCTCTTCGACCCCATTGCCTATGCTCTCATTAGCCCATCTATCCTCCAATAGCTGTTTATATCTTACCCTAACTGCCTCCTCTTTTAGTTTATAAACCTTCACCTCTCTCTTCCCTGATGCTTCTATTCTCCTTGTATCCCATCTACCTTTTACTCTCAGTGTAGCTACAACTAGAAAGTGATCTGATATATCTGTGGCCCCTCTATAAACATGTACATCCTGAAGTCTACTCAACAGTCTTTTATCTACCAATACATAATCCAACAAACTACAGTGGACCGTTAACCAGCGATGGCATCGATTAACGATAAATCTGACTAGCGATACATTTTAACGCAAAAATTTTGCCTCAACTAGCGCTTAAAAACCCGTCCAGCACTATTCGTTCCGTACCATACGCGTCCTCTTTGGCCTGAGTGCAACTCACTTGTCCCTTCGGTGCCAGTGTTTACAAGCCAGCCAGCCACCGCGGTCGCTTCCAAACATACAACAACTGGAACATTTCATATTATCACAGCCTTTGTAGTGATTGCACCTGCAAAATAAGTCACCATGGGCCCCAAGAAAGCTTCTAGTGCCAACCCTACAGCAAAGAGGGTGAGAATTACTCTGGAGATGAAGAAAGAGATCATTGCTAAGTATGAAAGTGGAGTGCGTGTCTCTGAGCTGGTCAGGTTGTATAATAAACCCCAATCAACCATCGCTACTATTGTGGGTAAGAAAACGGCAATCAAGGAAGCTGTTCTTGCCAAAGGTGCAGCTGCTGCTGCACCACAGTCAGCTGTTGTTGTTGCTGCACCACCATCAGCTGTATTACTCGAAGATGTGGAGAGAGTGTTGTTGGTGTGGCTTAACGTGAAACAATTACCGAGAAACGATTAACCCCGGAGGGTTAGCCACCCAGGATAACCCAAGAAAGTCAGTGCATCATCGAGGACTGTCTAACTTATTTCCATTGGGGGTCCTTAATCTTGCCCCCTAGGATGCGACCCACAACAGTTGACTAACACCCAGGTGAACAGGAAAAAATGCCTGGAATTAGTGCTCATATTGGTGAGGTTAGTGGGGAGGATGTGGAAGAGTTGGTGGAGGAGAACAATGAAGAACAAACCACTGATGAGCTGCTAGATCATCTTCAACAGTAAGAGGCCACATCTGAGGAAACTGCTCCGGAGGAGGGGAGAGAGAAATTGACGAAGTTGCCTACTTCAAAGATTAAGGAAATGTGTGCAATGTGGCTTAAAGTGCAAACCTTTTTTTGATGAAAATCACCCTCACACAGCTATTGCAAGCCGTGCTGGTGACTACTACACTGACAATGTTGTGAAACACTTTAGGATAAAGGAACGAGAGGTACAGGCCTCTATGGACAGATATGTTGTGCAACAGAAGTCCAGTGACTCTGAAGCTGGTCCTAGTGGCATTAAAAGAACAAGGGAAGTAACCCCAGAAAAAGACTTGCTGCCTCAAGTGCTAATGGAAGGGGATTCCCCTTCTAAACACTAAGATCGACGCTCTCCCCTCCTCCCATCCCATCAATCATCACCAGATCTTCAATAAAGGTAAGTGTCATGTAACTGTGCATGTAATCTTCAGTTTGTGTGTTTTAAAATTAATATTTCATGTGGTAAAATTTTTTTTTTCAATACTTTTGGGTGTCTTGCACGGATTAATTTGATTTCCATTATTTCTTATGGGGAAAATTAACTTGACTAACGATAATTTTGACTAACGATGAACTCTCAGGAACGGATTAATATCGCTGGTTGAGGGTCCACTGTACTGTCATTTCGCCCTGCATCATATCTTGTATACTTATTTATCCTCTTTTTCTTAAAATATGTATTACCTAAAACTAAACCCCTTTCTATACAAAGTTCAATCAAGGGGCTCCCATTATCATTTACACCTGGCACCCCAAACTTACCTACCACATTATGATATTATGTTTTTAAGTCTATTTTATGATTTTTCTAGGCCCAGCAGGAGGAGTTACGCCGTCGTACTTATCGTCGGAAATTATTCGTTGAACAAGGAGAACGTGTAGCCCAGAGATATCCTGGTTCAGCAGAAGAAATTAGCTGGAGAGTAAACTATCTGAACAACAAATGGGACCAATTGGAGAGTTCCTTCACTCCTGCTAAGGGTCGTAATCAGGAAGTTGAGGTTGAATTAGGTATGTCTTTGTTGCCTTTTGTGAGAGTACTTCATTACTTCTGAAATGCTTATAGATATTCAGATGTTCAGGCTGTACAAGTGCTCCTTGACTTACGATGAGGTTAGGTTCTGATGAATCCATCATAAGTTAAAAATATCCTAAGGTATATATGAATATATGATGAATAAGTAACTACTGTCAATAAGTAAATAAACAAATAATTACTGTAGCTAACTAAATACCAGTATTGAAAAGTAAATAAATGAATACAAATTTATGCTATCAATAAATGTAAAGTACTGTATAGTACAAAAAAAAAAATGTTTTACAGTTTTATTTTACCATTGTCAAGTCAAAATATTGTAAGTCCAACTGTTGTAAAGCAAGGAGCATCTGTATAAGGTAATTATAAATTATATTGCTGTAATTGCAGGAGGACTAGCAATTGTATTTTTAGTTATTTTTACTTTTGTATAATTTTTAATTTACATTATTATTATTATAATCAAGGGGGAAGCGCTAAACCCGGAGGATTATACAGCACTTGGGGGGGGGGGGGATGTGGAAGGCATTCAGGCTTAATTCGGGGAACTGGAGCACAGATCCAATTCCCTAAATCAAGAGCCCCTCACCAACATCAAGGAACCTTCCTTGAGGGGTTTTAATTTATAAATTACCTTTAATTGCTCTTCCTTTTGAATGTGTACTGTAGTTCTATACACACAGAATATACATATATAGTTCATGACTGCTGTGTAGGCTGCTTTATTGAAGCATCCCTTATGCACAGCATTCCTGATACAAGTCTTAGTCTTGGCTTTGCCTCTGTAGATGCCTTCCTTTCAGTACTGGCACATAAATAAGGAATCTTGGTTCATGCTGTTCGTTGTTGTTGCAACATACATGCACAGAGCAAGTTCTTGTTACTCAGCAAGCTGCATTAAGAAGGCTGCCAAGAAGGTCGGAAAGCCCCAGAAGGCGAATACCTGCTCTATCAGTAACCTTATTCAGCAGCATAAGTATAGTTTCTCTGGGAAAAGACCACCAAGGAAAACAATAATAAAATTTGTGAAATACCATTGTACTGTTGGATTGTGTGCATGGTAACATGAATGAAGGGCTTCAGGGAAACTGGTTAGCTGGACTTGAATCCTGGAGGTGGGAAGTTCAGTGCCTGTACTATGAAGGAAATTCTTGTTAGATTTTTACTCTGCTTTTGTGTAACTTTTCAGTGTCATGACTGTACACAAGAATTCCTCATAGGGAAGGTTGGAGGGGTAAGGATCTTTCCAGGAAAAGTTGGAAGGAGAGGGTAAAAGAGGCCTTGAGTTTTAGGGGCTTGAACATCCAACAGGCATGTGTGAGTATGTAAGATAGCAGTGACTAGAGACAGGTAGTTTTAAATGGATGTGCTGTTGGAGTGTGAGCAGGGCAACAATTATGAAGGGATTCAGGAAAACCAATTAGCTAAATCTGAATTCTGGATTTAAGAAGGGCAGTGTCTGCACTCTGAAGGAGGGGTGGCAACTTTGCAGTCAAAGGGTCTGTTTGAATTATGTCAGCACACATTTGGCCAGACTGACTGAATGAATGATGGTAAATATGCTATCTTTTTTTTGGATCACACTGCCTTTGTTGGGGATAGGAGGCATTGGTTCACTTCTGATTTTTATTTACATTAGTGTTTTGCAGTAATTCAGTATTAGTTTATTCTGCCATGTACTTTAATTTTGCAATAAATGATCTCTCTCAGACCTGGCTCACGAGGAAGGCATCCTGCGACGATGGTTGAGTGATATGGAAGATCAGATCCAGCCTTTAACCTGTCGTCTTCCTCATGGATGTTCCCTCCTTACTCTTCAAGACCGCTACAAGGATAATCAGGTGAGTACCCAGTTTAGATTTTGCAAAAAGCTTTTATTACCTAAGTAATTTTTTTATTTAATACATTGGCTGTTTCCCACAGAGGCAGGGTGGCCCAAAAAGAAAGAAAAAATCCAAAAAGAAAGAAAAACTTTCATTCAACACTTTCAGCATCACTCATACCTAAGTACATGTAATTGTGTAATTTAAATATCAATAAAAATGAACTGTGTATTGTGGTAAAGAACTGCTTACTGTGTAGTGTTTGATGAATCCCTCAGAAGACAACCTAACATTTTTGCCTCTTAAATAACCAGTTTAAAGATCTTGCTACCACTTTTAACTTTGTACAGATCCAAGGATTTCCCATTTCAGCAACCCATATCCTGACAGTTGACTTGAAGAGGTGGCAGTCTGTGGTTCACTGAACATTACAAAAAGTACTTTTTTCATTGTGTTCATTGAACATTACAGAAAGTAGTTTTTTCATTCTTCAAAATGTTCCATTCTATATATGGACTGATGAACCATTAGGAATGTACCAACAGTGGATGCAGCTGTTATTGGAAGGCAGGGAACACAAAGTAGTTAGTACAGCTGCAAGATTCACATTCTGTTAGATTTGATGCTTTAAGGAGCCATTGGGCATAATTTTCACAGTCAGGATGCAGGTGCAGAGAATTTCTTATTAAAGACCCAAATTGAAGCTCTATATCCTGTAGATTGAGCTGACGAAAGATTCCTTATGGCTAAGCAGTAAAGTCCTAAACATTGAATGTGTCCAGTCATCCTAATTTCCAGATTCAGCATTGCATGTTTGTCTGTGGAATTCACCAGTGGCTTGATTTTAAGAATCATCTATAGACTTGTGTGATCTGTAATCCATTGTTTTGGTATGACACAACTATTCACTTGTATTAATACAGATGACCTGTTTTGAGAGGCTGAAATCCTCTTATGTTGAAGGCATGCTCATATTTTGAAGGCAACACTCAGTAACCATTTTTTTTTTTTTCAATAAGTCGGCCGTCTCCCACCGAGGCAGGGTGACCCAAAAAAGAAAGAAAATCCCCAAAAAGAAAATACTTTCATCATCATTCAACACTTTCACCACACTCACACATTATCACTGTTTTTGCAGAGGTGCTCAGAATACAACAGTTTAGAAGCATATACGTATAAAGATACACAACATATCCCTCCAAACTGCCAATATCAGTAACCATATTGCACCTTAAATATACAAATAAATTTGATAATATTCAGTAGTTTTATTTGTGTCACCCACTTTCCTCAGTTTGTTTACAAGAACAACAGGTGATGACTGCAGTGGCCAGATTGGCCACTGTTCTCATCCTCACAACTAACTGATATTTTATTTCTTTCAAGTACTGTACTATGAAATGCAAATCATAGATCCATAGTATAATATAAACATCATAATTGTTCAGTGTATTATGGTATGGGGAAGGAGTGTTGATTGTGTAGAGAGAGAGAGGTGAATTGCATGCAAGTACATTAAGTCGAGCCATTGGTAAGGAGAGAAAGAGGGTTTTACCTGCTCATTCCCCATCCTCCTCCCTGCCACGACCAGTGGCCTTACCCCCGAATCCTTCCTGGTCCGTCAACCACTGACATACACTGGTAATGAATAATTGTGCTGATAAACATAACATAAATAATAAATGTTACTTTTTACCAATCTATAATAACAAATGTGTATTGAATGTGATTGTGGCCTGTCTAGCATGGGCCAGTGAGCTTGCCATGGTGCACCTTGATTATTGTGTAATGGGTGAGTGTAAGTAAAACATGCCTATCTTGGCCCAGTAGACCTACAGCAGTGCTTCAAAATTCTTGTGGTTTTTATGTAATGGTTGGATGCTAGTAGGACTTGCCTAATATGAGGATGTTGGTCTATTGTAGTTCACCATTTTCCATATATTTATAAAGTGTTTGGGCTAATTCATTCTCATTCATTCACACACACACAACCATACATGCATGTACGCACACACGTGCATATAGGTACATGGTCTGCCGGGAGGTCTGGTCGGGAACTACAGGCCACAATATAGCCAGTACTGGAGAGAACAGAAACACGTACACCAAGAGTCATATTACAAGACTGTACATTACCAGAGCTACTAACAAAACCCAAAATATCAGACATCATCACTGGTAAATTCTTTCTCTTTCTAACATTCAGGGTTAAGCAGAATTCAAATAATGTTAAATATATAGCTGGGCTCCTCACAAAAGTAAATGCAGTATTGAAGGGTTTAGGGAAACACACAACGGATGTTTTGGACAGTGATATTTCATTGCAAAATTACAATACATATATGTAAATGTGAGGGAATAAATATGTCACAGGATGGAGTAGGAGTTGTACAGAACAGTTGAAATCATTAAATACAGGCTTTACAGTGCTTTGCTTTATGGAGTTTCACTGATGCAATGGTTTTCATTTGTAATCATTCTTCATTTCTTCAGACGTTGTGATAAATATATTCGCCATTCGCTATAAGCTAAGCATGAAAATATTTTAAGGTAAGTAATGTGTATACTATATATGCATTTTTTAGGCCTATTTCTCACTTAATACAGGTTGACCATCACTAATGTGGCATCATTGGGACCTGTAGGGTGCCAGATTAGTGACTTTTGCTAGATTAGAGTGGTCAGGTTAGAATACACTTGAACCCATCGGCAATATTTACGCATCGGCAATTTCGCCCACTTTAAGACTTATTTTTTGCCCATTCCGTTGTTCCAGTCTACCGAACTTGTAACTATTTCGCTAGTATTCCTTCTATTCTGTTGATTGAGTACAAGAAACTGCCCATGTACCTATTTCAACTACTCAATAAAATAGTCAGAAATCTATAATTTGGCCAATTTCACAAAAGTTTCAAGAGATGCCAATTTTAAAATAGTCATGTCTCTAGGCCCCTCTTATATTGTGCTTGTTTTCCATTTTGAATTTTTATTCACACGGAAAAATAGAAGATTTACTGTTATGCAGACTACTGCATTATTGTAATAATTGTAGAAATAATGTCAACCCATTCGTGACTGAGTATTAGACTGGCCAGTTGGACACATATTGGACTGTGATATCATTTGTTTGCTCTTGAACATTGGCAAAAATTGAACATTTCCGCTACTTTGAGCTCAATTTCAAGGTACTTTCCGTCGTGAAACCAATCAAAATCACATGTATTTCTGTAGTATATCTTCTGTTCTATCAAATGAGACCAAAAAGACTAGAATACAACCATAAATACCATGTGAAAATACACCACAATATCGCTGCTTTTCACCAAAAATACGGTCGTGTTTTCTCATTATGCTCTGTGCACTGCATTATTTTTTTTTATATAGTGCATACTTACCACACACATTTTCTCTTGTGTGTAGGCCCAAATTTACCGGTCTAATCTTATCTGAGTGAGCTGAGCTCATGGCGACTGACAGTGGCTTCAAAGTCACCTTATCTTTTATGGACAGTGTATGGTGTATGTGCTTTACACAGCGAGAAGCATTTCTTTAATTCATTGGAACCATGGCTAAGGCTAAAAGTGAGCAGGTTATAACAAATAGAGAAAAAGAAATTGGAACGACTTATGCAGCAAGTAGTGCCACCTGACAGTAGCAGCAGGTTGGTGTGGCGACCCCTGAAATTTGAAATTATGTTTGCCGAAATTAGTGCCGGATTACTGATGGAATAGGATTGCTGATTGCCGAATTAGCAATGGCTGACCTGTATATGATAGCATAAACATGTTACCAGGATTTTGTATGCATTTGAAAGTGAAAAAGGCTGTTTCACTTTACAGCGATTGTCACTGTACAGCAGTAGACCGGAACCTAACTGTATAAATGGGGCCTCCCTGTAATAATGTGAAAGTACAGTACATATTCTTCAAAACTAGACGTATTTTGTTAATGTTGGTGGTTCCTAGATTACTACATGATGTACAAGACCCATGAGAAGGATCCATATCAATTGCAGCGTCTGACACGATGGAGGGAAATTGTATAAAATACTGACATGAAAGATAGACACAAATGCATTGTAATGCAATCTTTTATTGGCAACATTTCACTCAGTGAATTTTATCAAGTCACAAACATTCTGTTTGTGAGTTTGCATTTGTCATTATCCATGTACATGGTGAATTGTCTTGTTTCAGTGGTGAACTCAGATTACTTTTACTTTGTTTCATCTGCTGCTATTTTAACATAATGGAATGGAAGTTGCTGTAGGTGTGTTCTGGTGGTGACCCCGTGACAGGGGACATCACACATACAGGCTCACTCGTGTGTGGAAAATAGCAAGTTATTGTTTTTAGAATTAGTATGTTATGCAGAAGCTAAGAGTTTCAGGCGTAAGCTGAATAATGTATTCCCTCTACCCTCGTTCTCATCCCCCATCCTTCCTATCTTTCTCTGGGCTTCTCTCTCTCCATGCTTTCTCTGATGCCCTTCAGTATCTACATTTCGTACTCAGGTCTCACCGTTTCATTTATTAATTTTCCTCCCTAAATTCTTTCCCTCTGCTTCATTTATTTTTTCTCCTCCTGCCAATTATTAATTTTTCACATTCATTCTTTCTTTCCTACATCCTCTTAACCTCTATCTCTGTTGCTTTAAATTTTTGTCTCCGTTTTCATCTACTGTTCTCATGTCTTTTCACTCTTATGTATCATCCACCTCACTTTTCTGAATCTTTTTGCTTCACTCCGTTGTTTTCTTCAGTAGTGCTTATCTCCATGCCCTTTCACCTTGACACAGTACATAGCTAGTTCTCCTCTCCAGTTACCACCAGGTATATATAATTTTTCCTATTTGTAATGTGCTCATCTCTCTTGCTAAATTCTAAATTACAACCAACGAGAGGATTACTGTTTCACCCTTTACCATGTGAAACATTGTCACATGTATAAATTTTCCATACTACTTTAAAGTACTGTACTTGAAAGAATCTTATTGGTATGTGAGGTATTCACATACTATTCAGGCTCCTCCTGCATCATCATCAATCGTCATCCTCATCATCCTCTTCCTCCAGACTGGGA